CTATATTACATATCCCATATAGAAGCTAAAGAATCAAAAACTGATTAATGAACAAAACTAGAAGATAACAAATCTGAATAAGATAACTTTTAGGGTTTGTATTCAAAGAAGATAATAGCTTTCTCTTAGAAATATTAAACCGAAGAACGAAGAAGAGATAAAAGTCAGCAAACTATTGCGTATTTCCTCATTATATAGCAACTCCACTGTAGCTCCAAGCCCTTCCACTTTAGCGTTCTATCACATTTAGTCCTTGTGCGCCATTCCATCTTCCAAATCTGGTCCTTTAGCTTTTCATGACAAAAAAACCATTATTTTATCCCTACAAAGTACTAACACCAAAATTAAGCAAATTTTCATTTATCCACCCAAATACAAGATTGGAACTATTATTTATTTTAACAAAGCTTAACAAAAATTACTATATTTTATCGTTTTCCCAAAAAATAAAGGTCATCTCGAGAGGCTGTTAGGAGGATAGGCGATTTTGTCAATTTTAAACATTCATCAAAATCATTATTTTTTTTCTTTGTATGTTTTTTATCACTTTCCACCTAGTAAAACACACATACACACATAATGAGCGAAGCAGCAAGTATCTAGATATACTATCACTAACTTTAGCTACAGATGCGTGCAGAGGTGTGAGGGCGGCTTCTGCTAACAGATTACCAGAAAATCATTGCGAGAGCGGTTTCTCCCCTCGATTTTGGCTCTATAAATCAACTTTACTTCTGCTTATCGAACACACATATCCTCCTGGATCGTGGCTATCTGGTAAATCAATCATCCTTGGAATACACTGTTTCCTTTTGTAATAATCATTTCATTGACCATTGGAAACTTTTAAATCCAATGATAATGCAACATCAGGAGAAAAGTTTTATATATATATATATATATATATATATATATATATATATATATATATGAAAAAGTGAATATGTGGTTGTCATGTATATAATATTAGGTATAGAACTATTTAAATTGACTTCATTTGGATTAAAATACAAAATTTTCTTTCACTGTTAGCTTTTTCCTATTGCTTTTGAACTAATATTATTTTTTAATTTGTAATTCATCCTCAACATCCGTATATTTCGAATGTGTTTTTTATTAGACCTCTAGTAGAAGCTTCATAACTTCCTCCGACACCTACCTTATGTATACTTGCATTATTTTTTTTATGGATTATGAGAAGAGGTTTATCGAGTTTTTATTGATCAATTTCAATCTTTCATTATAGTTTTCTATAATAAATTTCAATATACTGAACTAAATGTATTTAATATATATTCTTATACACAGTTTGTGGTGTAAAATTAAACTTATAAAACTCCATAAAAATATATATAAAGCCTAATAGAAGTTCTAATAAAGGATACAAGAAATATGGTAGAGATATTTAATTGAATTTTTTTAAAATTATATAGTTTTTGATGGTTCTATACCTAATATTAGGTACATAACAACCACATATTCTCCAAGCCCATATATATATATATATATATATATATATATATAATTGTTAAACAACGTTTCTACTAATTACTAAGATTTGTTCTCACATAAATCCATAAACAGAGCTTCCAGCTAGATAAGGAGAGTGGGAAAAAGTGCTATATGTTGGGCGGAAAGGAGCTATACATTGCATTGCAAGATGATAACGAATACCGGAAATGGGGACACATAGCTGAATCAAGGTCTCTGTTGTCTCTTTTAGAGTCGTTTTTTATAAAATAAAAATATACAAGTTTGTGTTGTTAGGCATGCATATGCATTGTAATAACAAGAGATTCGATATATGTCTATCTCTCGTCTCTCTTATGTGCAAAAGCAGTCTCCTCATAAAAAATTACCTAGAAAGTTAATTAGACATGGTCCCATCTCCTTTATATATATTGGAGTTTAATATAACTGAACATATGTTTCCATTTGTGTAGGTTTGCAGAGGTGTGCATACTTAAAAAGGTATGCTGGCTTGAAATCCGTGGCAAAATAGCATCGGTAATGTTGTCACAAAACAACACATATGTAGTGTATCTTGTCTATCAAACTACTAGCGATTCCCACGGACATTCTGTGCCAGCTACAACAATGGTGAGTTTTTGTGGGATAGGAATGGTGACTGAAAATGTGTATCTTCAAAAATCAGAGGCTAGTGAAATATGGAAAGAAAACTATGTGTTTCCTCAAAGGAGAAAGGATGGGTGGATGGAGATCAAGTTGGGAGAATTTGAGTACAATGATGGAGATAATGGGGAGGTTGAGATGGCGTATGTGGAGAACAATTGGGGACACTGGAAGAAGGGTCTTATCGTGGAGGGTATCGAGCTTCGGCCTAAATAAGTAGATGTGATAATTTTTGTTTGAACAAGTACATCTAACTATCAAACCTTTTTAACTATAAGAGTTTAGGGAAATATGAAGTTGGGTCATTTGTTATGTAAGGAGACGATATCAAGATGAAGTTTTTATGATTGAGATGCATAGATAGAAAATACGTTGTAAAATAAGTATATTAGAGTATGCTGGGGCGGAAAAAAGACACTAAAACTATGAAGGCCATATCAAATTTTCAAAACCGAAGTATATATTCATGTTTAATTTGTTTCAACGTATTTTAATAGCTAGTTAAATAAAAAATATATATATTCATGTATTATAAATAAGTCATAATTAAGATATAGAAACAAGTTAAATTAACCAGAAAACTAATCTTAAAAAATTAATAAAAATAATTACTCACAAAAGTTGTATTATAAATGTGTTCTAAAAAAATTAAAGAAAATTAGAAAATAGATTATATTGCACATTTCCTAGCTTCATACTTTTGTACTAAGAAAAAGCGAAAGAGATAATAACTTCAAAGTACTTGCCTACTCGCTTGGTGTAAATCTGAGATTAAATAAATCATCTTTTACATAACATATCATGGTAAAAAAATAGACGAAGAGCGAGGGCGATGGAAATTGAGAGAGTGAGAGCCTCAAAACTTTGAGAGAATGTGAGAGAGTGTCAGAGCCTTAAACCTTTGAGACATCTACACCTTAACAAATCGAGATGGCAACCGGCGAGACATCTTTAGATTTATTTTTCAACACTTGTTGGTTTTATAAAACTTATTATAGTTTTGATAGTTTCAAGATTTGTTGGTTTTTGTTGAAGTAAAGGGTTTCAAACTATTTATATTCCAATCAATTTGGATTCTGAGTAGGATTTGTTATATTTTTGGTTTTGATTTTCTAGCATAATTAGTTGTTCGTGCGTTTTTCCTCGAAACATTTTATGCACCTTGATTTTCTTAATTTGTCTTTTTCTAAAAAGATTTCATTTTTTTATACAGCAAAATGGAATATGTATATGTTAAGTATATCAATTACGCTAAGACCCGAATTAGTGTACGGGGAGGCGAGGCGAGGGAAGCGTTCTTACTCACCGGAACACCACACCGGCACTGTGGGAATGGTGGTGCGGGAAAGGGGTCGGGTGGGGGGGGTCTGGGTGCCGCACTCTCTCTCTGATTCCTATTGGCTATTTTTTTTTGGAATGGTAAGAAATTGGAAAACAATATATATATATATATATATATATATATATATATATATATATATATATATAC